CACACCCTCCTCCTTCTGCTCCTCCCTCGATTGAGGGAGGGGTAAGAGGAGGGAGGAGAGAGGATGCAAGCTAGGTGCGCTCTTTCCGTTTAAACATCCTATCACTCCATCCCATCTTTTCTGCGTTGTGTGGTTCAATATCCGCGAATGCGTGCCATAGCCGACCTGGACTTTGAAAGAAGACCCCATCGTATGTTGCCCAATCTGATAGAGGGAGTTGCGCACATACGAGGCGGCGGAGGCGGAGGTGGCGGTGGAGCAGGAGGATGAGCGTGAGGGAAAGTAGGAGGATCAGGAAGGACGAGGACGAGGACGAGCAGCAGCAGCAGTCTACATCGGAGTGGACCGAAGGGGAGGGCGGAAAAGGGGAAGCGAGGGGGCGGGCGACGGTGCGCAAAAGAGGACGCGGATCCAGAAGAGAGGCATGCGCTTGGGCGAGAGCGCCAGACGAACGACGGGAGCAACGCGTCGATCCGGAACTGAAGCACAAGTTGCAGCGGGAGCGCTATTTGGAATCCTCCTCCTCCTCCTCCTCCCCTCCTCCTCCTCCTCCTCCTCCTCCTCCTCCTCCTCCTCCTCCTCCTCCCTCCTCCCTCCTCCGTTGGAGCGGGAGCGCTGTTTGGAAACACCGGAAACACTCAGGTCGCAAACAGCCATACAGGCAATCATTTTCGCCCAAACATTTCTACACAAAACGTACTCGAAGAGAGTGGATCACGTCCTGGACAGGGTCAGGGAAGAGAGGCGAAGAGTGTTCATATTGAGTAAGTGTGACGGAGGGGGGTGGGACTGATGGAGAGAGGACTATGATCTTTCGCTCATCTAGCAACCCTCCCTTGATATCTGCTTGACTGATCGTTCTTCCCTTGTCATCCTCCTTTTCCGTCTCCTTCCTCCATTTCCACCTCGTTCCTTCCTCACTCGTTATGCCCCTCCTTCCCGGGAGGGGGGACTCGAAGGACCTTCCCGGGAGGGGGGACTCGAAGGACGACGGACGAGTAATACCAGGAACAGTGTAACGATAAGGTGGAACCTTAAGGAGTCGAAGAGGAGAACGAGGAGTTTGAACGATTCGGGGGACAACGTGAAGGATGTGGATAAAGACGTTGGTAAGGAGGATGCGCAAGAATACGGATGGGTATCGAGATGGCAAGGAGAATGATGAGGGGCGGGGATGAAGGGGACGAAGAGGATGGTGGAGCGGGAGGGGCTTGAGGAGGATGAGTGAGCATTCTTCGTCGGATGACATATGAGATGGAGAGGAGGAGAAGTCGGAAGGGGAAGGGTCGCTGGTGGCCAGAGGAGCCTTGCGTCTCTTTTGCTTTGGTATTTTCGTCATCCTGCCTCATGCCCCACATCCTTCTCCCCCCTCCCCCTTTCCTCGTCCCTTCTCCTACCTCCTCCTCCTCCTCCTCCTCCTCCTCCTCCTCCTCCTCCTCATTGTCTTCCGCCTCATCCTCCTGCTACTCCATCCTCCCTCTCTC